AGGTTGTCTCATTTTGGGTGCTGATAATTTTGATCTTTTGATTAAGGAGGTGAGTGCCATTTCTCTCCATTATAAAGGTACATTTTCCTCTTTGTAATTAGTAATAATCTGTTGTGTAACAATTTGAGACTCTGTAAATATCCTATTCTCCAATTAACTTTCACCCAATCATTTTAGCATCCATAGATGATTCTTTTCTTTTCGGAAACAATTATTAAAATAGAGAGTGGCTGGGCACAGTGGCTCATGCCTGTAATCTCAGCACTTTGGGAAGCCAAGATGGACCAATCACTTGAGCCCAGGGGTTCAAGACTAGCCTGGGCAACATGGCAAAACGCCATCTCTACAAAAAAATATACAAAAATTATCCAGGCATGGTGGTGTGCACCTATAGTCCCAGCTACTCAGGAGGTGAGGTGGGAGGATAAACTGAGCAAAGGACGTCAAGGGTGTAATGACACAATTGTGCTACAGCCTGGGCAACAGAGCAATACCCTGTCTCAAAAACAAATAAATAAAATGGGGGGTGCAGAATGGTGATTTTCAAACAGCTATTTCTTATACATTAATTAGGTGGCATTATTCATAAAGATGAGCAGTCCATTTTATCTATAAAGGGGGGCTTTAATTAATTTTAAAATATTTATTTAGCCTTTCCTGATAATAAAACTCGTGTTCAATATAGACAACTTTCAAAAATATAGAAAAGACCAAAGAAAAGCGTATTAACTCATAATGCCACCATTCTTAGCCACTATTAACATGTGATGTGTATATATCCTTCATTCTTTTTCTATTTATATGTTTTTGTTTATTTGTTTTTGTTTGTTTTGAGAAGGAGTCTTGCTCTGTCGCCCAGGCTGGAGGGCAGTGGCGCGATCTCGGCTCACTGCAAGCTCCGCCTCCCGGGTTCACGCCATTCTCCCACCTCAGCCTCCCCAACAGCTGGGACTACAGGCGCCCGCCACCACGCCCGACTAATTCTTTTGTATTTTTAGTAGAAACGGGGTTTCACTGTGTTAGCCAGAATGGATGTGTATTGTTGTATAAAAGTGGGATTGTACTCTATCAGCTTTTGTGAAGCCTGTTTTTTTACTTATGATTTTCAGATGTCACTGAAATATTATATGACAACTGTTTTTTTTTTTTTTTTTGAGACAGGGCCTCACTCAGTCACCCAGTCTGGAGTGCAGTGACACAACCTTGGCTCACTGCAACTTCCACCTCCCGGGTTCAAGCAATTCTACTGCCTCAGCCTCATGAGTAGCTGGGATTACCAGCTGTCACCACCATGCCCAGCTAGTTTTTGTATTTCAAGTAAAGACCAGGTTTTACCATGTTGGCCAGGCTGGTCTGGAACTCCTGACTTCAAGTGATCCACCTGCCTCGGCCTCCCAAAGTGCTGACAGCCAATGCACCCAGCCCTTATATGAAAACACTGTTAATAATTTTATAGAATCCTATCAAGGAGAATGATCATGACCTATTTAACATATCTACTATTGTTACAAATTTTGGTTACTTCCAATGTTTTATATTGTAAATACTTCTTCAATGAGTATGCTTGTTAACTCTTTAAACTCTTTTTGAGTATTTCTTGTGGGGTTTTTGAGTTAAAGCCTAGGTAAAACAGTTTAAATATTTTAATATTGTGAATTTCTGTGAGAAAGCTTAATATGTTCAAACTTTGATAAGACAACTTCAATACAGTGAGACTTTAAAATCATATTCTCACCCATAAGACAGAGTCCGAAGAAGAGACCCAGATATCTCATGTACCTACTGGGATTATTGTGCTGTTTGAGAATGAGCTGCTTACACAGCATTTCACTAAAGTTTATTATAACTCTAATAAGCAGGTTGTCCATTAGATCTAAGAATCTGAACAAATTGGTGACATGGTCTCTACAGCAATGAGTCAGATGCTGTTAGAATCTGGTCGGGTGCAGTGGCTCATGCCTGTAATCCCAGCACTTTGGGAGGCCAAGGCAGGCGGATCACCTGGGGTCAGGAGTTTGAGAGCAGCCTGGCCAACATGGCGAAATCCCATCTCTACTAAAAATACAAAAAAAAAATTAGCCAGGAGTGGTGGTCGGCACCTGTTATCCCAGCTACTTGGGAGGTTGAGACACAAGAATCGCTTGAACCTGGGCGGCAGATGTTGGCAGTGAGCCGAGATCATGCCACTGCACTCCAACTTGCGTGACAGAGTCAGACTCTGTCTCAATAAAAAGAAAAAAAAAATTATCTGTGAACACTCCACAGAACGATCCTGCAAAATGGGCCAGTCTCATGCAAAGGGACATTTTCACAATCACTCTCATTGTGTTTCTGGTGTAAGAACCTTAAGCTAAAATCACCTTTTTCTGATGGAATTTTGGTCATGGGCAGTACGAAAATTAAAGGCACAATTCAAAGACAGGGAGCAGTGACTGCATCTGATGGATAATAAACCAGAGAAAATAGCAGCCAACAACCCTTACACATAGTGTACCTGGCCCTGTGCTAAAATGCTGTGTCCATGTTGCCTCATTTAAGCCTCAGGACAAACTTCTGAGTGAAGTGCCATCATTACACCTGTTTCTAGCTGAGACAAAAAAAAGTAGAAGTTAAAAGAAATGACCAAGGAAAGTTCTCCGTGTGTGTTAAGTTTTCTATGTGGGATCCCCTGGAGAGTGGGGATCCTGACTTATTTTTCTCAGTCTCCCCTGGCGCTAGCCAGAGTGCTCAATTCATATCACTAAATGATTGTGAAAGGGAAGTAAATGTAGATTTCTGGATTTTTCATTCTATCAGGTGAGCTTGGAGGAATATGCTTCAGCAAGAGGCCACATGCTTTTACCTCACAGGTGACAGAGGGATCATGCATGAAGACGGCTACTTCTGGTTGTCTGGTAGAGCTGATGATGTTGCCAATGCATTGGGTCAGAGATTGTGAATGCTGTGGTTATTGCTATTGAGCCTGGGGCTGTGGGAGTCTGGATAAGACTCTGGACTGCTTCCAATACATAGGAATATCTCTAAAGTGTAGAAAATGCAAACAACCAAAAAAGAAAAAAAAAACCTCATCCACAATCTCATATTTTGGAGTATATTCTTCTAATCTTCTTTCTTTTTATATGTAGCTTTTTTTTTTTTTTCTTGGTAGAAGTGAGTTCAGGGAGAAATGCTCTAGCATAACTTGCCTTTTTCACTCAACGATGTAATAGAAATATTTTTCTGGGCAATTAAATATAAAAATTCACTTTTTAAATTAGTTTATCATGACCAATAAGTACACAGATCTTACATGAATAGCTCAATGGATGTCTACACACATACACACCCCTGTAACCATCTAGATCAAGATATAGGATACTTTTTGCCTCCTGGGCTCTCATTCATGTCCTCATACCTCTGTGCAAGCTATACTTCTTTCATGAACTTTGGACTGAATTTCTATGCCTAAAGACAGTTTCAGAGATTGAGAAAAGAAGACTAAATTCTAAGGAGCAATAAATTCCAAGGGCAGATGGTGGCAAGTAGATACCATGGGTCATCCTGATTCAGAGCTTGCTGACCACAAAACTCACAGGAATACTGAGAAATAGAAATCAAGATCTAGGCTTTATGGGCTCATTGCTATCACCTGCCACTGCTCCTGGGACGTGAGTCAAAAAAGGTGCTTTCTCACCACTATTCCACTCTGATCCTTGACCCAATTAAACAATCCCAACTAAATTTTGCTCATGAAGTCTCTCTCCCTTGACCACTCCTTGTTGCAGCAGCAGTGAACGAAGTGCTTGCCTCTGCCTCTAACTGCTATCAATTTTTACTTTGAGCCCCTCCCCCATAAATAGCCATTATTCTGACTTCTAAAGTGCAGGTCAAATTTACCTGTTCCCGAACTTCATATAATGGAATCATACAGTTTGCACTCTTTTGTGTCTGTCTTCTCACAAAATAATGCCTGGACAATTCATTTATGTTGTTGTAAGGATCAACAGTCCATTCTTTTTCATTGCGATACAGAATTCCATTATATGAATACACGCAGAATTTATCCATTCTTATGTTAATGGTGACTGAGGTTGTTTCCAATTTAAGAATGCCTCCTTTGCCCAACACCGCTGCACGTGGGAAGTTAGGCATTTTCTCTCACCCTTCGGATTGAGTGTATGGGTGGTTGAGAGGCGTCGATTCCCAAGACCCTCTCGCAGCTCTCACAGCAGGCGTCACAAAAGAGTTTGCACCACTCCAAACAGTCAAAACGAGTCATCCCCCCACCCCACCCCCGCCTTCTCTGGATTTTAAAGACTGAGTAGGAGGAGAAAATAGGGACGGAGTTCCCCTGGTTAATTCATTTATCTTAAGTTCCCCTGGTTAATTCATTTATCTTAAGTTCTCGTAACCAAACTAGGCCCTCAGTTGAGGCTTTTGACCCTCAAAGTTCTTTCCGCTTCGTACAGTGAGATCAGAATCCCTGAAAAGAAGCTGCTTGCCCTCCCCGGCTTACCATCCTTGGGCACTCGGCTGTGGGGGGTGCGGCTGCCCTATTTCCCGCGTAGAAACAACTGCAGGTGGCGCCGCCCGCTTAAAAGTGCAGAACTGTGGCCCTGAGCCAAGCTGGGGCAAATATGGAAGACGCGGGATGAGAGAGGGTGGGGCGAAAGGACGCTATGAAGATTCCTGGAGGGAGGGACCAGAGCAGAGGCGTTGAGTGGCAGGAGGCAAATGTTCCCGCGACCGGGAACTTTATCGAGTTGAAGTTTCCTCTGCCGTCGCCTCCTACTCGCGAGCAGAGCTGAGCCTGTTGTGCGGCCTTTCTGGAAAGCAGGTCGCCACTACCCTCGGCTTGGGACGCCGGCCCGCAAGGAGCCTCGGAGACTCACACATGGCAGCGCCTGAATCTGGCAACGCAGTGCGACTCTGCCGCGCATGCGCAGCTCCGTCCCCTTCAGAGGCGCGCGTGTGCTCGTGGAGGGGGCGCTTCCTCCAAAAGGAAAGCCAGAGGCGCTCAGGCCTAGATTGCCTCGCCAACCCCCTGCGCCCTCCCTATGCACCTACAGACTGGTGCATAGTACTTTTAAAACATCTGCGAGGACGACGTCTTTCTGCGAGCCTGAGGAAGGGGCAAAACCAGGGGAAGAGGTGAGATGTATCCAGTTAACCAGGTAGAAATTGTACCTCCGGGACTCATCAAGGCTAAATATAAAAGTTGCGTGCTTTTTTTTTGTTTTTTTGAGACTGAGTCTCGCTATTATCGCCCAGGCTGGAGTGTAATGGCGCAATATCGGCTCACTGCAACCTCTGCCTACTGGGTTCAAGCGAGTCCCCTGCCTCAGCTGCGATTGATTACAGGCGCCCGCCACCACGCCCGGCTTTTTTTTGTTTGTTTTGTTTTTTTGTTTTTTTGTTTTTTTTAAGTAGAGACAGGGTTTCACCATGTTGGCCAGGCTGGTCTCTAACTCCAGACCTCAGGTGATCCGCCTGCCTCAGCCTCCCAAAGTGCTGGGATTACAGGCGTGAGCCACCATACCTGGCCAAAAGTTGTGTGTTTACCAGGGACAACCCTGTGCTTTGAGTTCTCCCTGAGCTGTCAATCTCCTGTTATTACTAATCTGTCTACAGATGAGTAAACTAAGGTTCAGAGAGATTACATGACTTATCCATGTTATACAGTGATCAAGAAGTGGAGCCAGGATTTGAACCCATGAAGTCCCACTCCAAATTCTTTCATATAAGTTTACACGGAAAAAAAATTAAAAAATGATGATCAGTTGCCCTCTTTCATGCCAGCTAAAAAAAAAAAAAAAAAAAAGCTGAAAGAATTTTTTAATTGTTTTTGTTTTCATAATTGATAATCGTGTGGGGAGTACTGATTCCCCAAGTGGGTCACAAGGAGTTATCCTGAGCAGGAATGCTCTTGCTGTCCCCCTTGCTCCTGTACTCATACAGTCTATCTCTTGAGGATACAGCACCAAGTAAATTTCACCGATTGAGTGCTCCTATGTTCTAGAAAATGGCGCTCTACACTCACAAGGGCACGTATATAAATTGGCATTTCAACTATGTCTTCAACAGGCCATACCATCGCTCTTTTATGCTGGCCATTTCTGGGTGGTGCAGAATGTGATAGATCCAGTGGACTCCGTGGTCATGTGCCCACTGCTGTGCCTCCTTTGCAGTAAAATGGGTCCTTGGTCCCACAAGGCCGTGTGGGATCCTTCGCTGGTGGATCTAAAGGTCTTTATGTCCTCAGAAAGTGTTGTGTTTGAGGCCCTGTGGACAGCAAAGGCAAACCCAACATACTATATGGGTCTATTTCTGACTAAATACATAAATCATTGCACTTTCCAAAATGGAAGGGATCCAAGCTAGTCAGCTTGCCACCAAGCGGCTTAGCTGGTGTCTTCAAAGATAGCACTGTTCAGTTGGTCATTCTTGCTGGAAGGTTAAACATTTGGCAGCAGCAATAGCTAGATTGGCCTTGAAATAGAAGCCCATCTTTACTGCAACCACGTAGAGCCTCTATCGCCGACAATCATGGCTACTCCACCCACGCACCCATTATGCCAACATAGGGGTGGCCAACAACAGGCTGGCTCATGTCCATTGGCTAATTCATGTCGTCAACCTGATCCCTTACTGTCTCTTCCATGGTTTATTCTAATGAGGGTTAACAGAGGTCCATCCACATTCTTCTACTCCAGACCTCCTTGTCCTGATCTTCTCATCTTTCCCCTCTGATCAGCCAACGACGTCATTCACCACTGTCCATAAGTCCAGACACATTTATATTGAAGCCACTCCTCTTGCCACAGAAAGTAGATCATTAGGAACACTACCAGAAGCTCTGCCCAGTGGGAGGACTTCTTTTCTTTTTACAAGGCCAGCTCAAAAAGTACAGCAGTGCAGCCACCATTTCAGCATGCCCCCACATGCCTAGCCAACTCATCCATGAATCAAGTGTGGGCTTCCTCTTCCACCATCTGCTGCTCATATGGGATCCCCTATCAGCCATGGGGAAGAGCTGAGGGAGGGGCACAGCAGTAGACAGCATGAGGATCCAGGCTTCTGTGCTCCTACAGTTCACGTATTTCCTTCAGCCCTGCTCAAGTCATCCTTCCATCTCATGAGGGATTGTTCTTGGAGATGCCTGACCTTCTGACCTAATGAGAATGAGAGAACCCAAATCATGATGAGCAGTTCTGCCACCTGATGTCCCACGGTCAGGGTTTCGTCTCTATCCAAGCTATGGAAGAATGCCAGGAGTTATTTTATGAAAAGCATAAAGTTCTGTACTGCAGATGGCAGTCTTGTTCTAGAACCCAAGGGGCTTGGGTTTTTATTCTCCCACTGGTTCACCATCTTGAAAACTCTGACATCATAGGATCTCCTAGATCATATGAACCAAGCACAGAGCCACTTCTACCACAGCCTGTACCTGCTGCAGATCACTCTTCTGCTCTGGGCCAGATCAAAACTGGCAGCCTTGAAGGGAAGCAGAAATCCAAAATGTCTTTAAGATGAGTTTAAAGTTGTGTTGTTCAATACAGTAGCCACTACCCCCATGTGTCTACTGAGCACTTGAAATGTGGCTTGTGACAAATGTTGACACGATAATACAATTGTGTTCGCAGCCGCCGCCGCGCCGCCATTGCTCTCCAACGCCAGCACCACCTCTCACTCGCCGAGCTCCAGCCGAAGGAGAAGGTGGGTAAGTAAGGATGTCTCTGTACCATGGCTCATACAAAGCAGACTGCCCGCAAATCGACCGGTGGTAAAGCACCCAGGAAGCAACTGGCTACAAAAGCCGCTCGTAAGAGTGCGCCCTCTACTGGAGGGGTGAAGAAACCTCATCGTTACAGGCCTGGTACTGTGGCGCTCCGTGAAATTAGAAGTTATCAGAAGTCCACTGAACTTCCGATTCGCAAACTTCCCTTCCAGCGTCTGGTGCTAGAAATTGCTCAGGACTTTAAAACAGATCTACGCTTCCAGAGCGCAGCTATAGGTGCTTTGCAGGAGGCAAGTGAGGCCTATCTGGTTGGCCTTTTTGAAGACACCAACCTGTGTGCTATCCATGCCAAACCTGTAACAATTATGCCAAAAGACGTCCAGCTAGCACGCCGCATACGTGGAGAACATGCTTAAGAATCCACTATGTTGGAAAACATTTCATTCTCAAAAAAAAAAAAAAAAAATTCTTCCTGTTATTGGTAGTTCTGAACGTTTTTTTTTCCATGGGGTCAAAAGGTACCTAAGTATATAACTGCGAGTGGAAAAATAGGGGACAGAAATCAGGTATTGGCAGTTTTTCCATTTTCATTTGTGTGTGAATTTTTAATATAAATGCAGAAGCATAAAGCATTAATGCAAGTTAAAATGTTTCAGTGAACAAGTTTCAGCGGTTCAACTTTATAATAATTATAAATAAACCTGTTAAATTTTTCTGGACAATGCCAGCATTTAGATTTTGTTAAAACAAGTAAATTTCCTATTGATGGCAACTAAATGGTGTTTGTAGCATTTTTATCATACAGTAGATTCCATCCATTCACTATACTTTTCTGAGTTGTCCTACATGCAAGTACATGTTTTTAATGTTGTCTGTCTTCTGTGCTGTTCCTGTAAGTTTGCTATTAAAATGCTTTAAACTATAAAAAAAAAAGAAAGAAATGATAATACTTTGGATATATAGCATTATATAAAATGTATTATTGGCTGGGCATGGTGGCTCACACTTGTAATGTCAGCACTCTGGGAGGCTGAGGTGGGCTAATCGCTTGAGCCCAGGAGCTCAAGATCATCCTGGGCAACATAGCGAAACCCCATCTCTATTTAAAAATATAAAAATTATATTTTTTTATATAATTTCCAAAATGGAAGGGATCCAAAATAAAAAATAACATATATTTTAAAAATGTATATATATATAACTGTTGAGAGCAATTTGTGATTTGGCCTATTTTTTTGTGCATGTGTATAACTACAGGCATGGTGGCCCATTTTTTTGTGCATGTGTGTAGCTACAGGCATGGTGGCTTGTGCCTGTAGTCCCAACTACTCAGGAGACTGAGGTGGGAGGATCACTTGAGACCAGGAGGTCAAGGAAGCCATGACTGTGCCACTGCACTCCAGCCTGGATGACAGAGCAAGACCTTGTCTCAAAAAAATGACAAAGAGTATTATTGGCCAGGCGTGGTGGCTCATACTTGTAATCCCAGCACTTTGGGAGGCCAAGGTGGGTGGATCACAAGGTCAGGAGTTCGAGACCAGCCTGGCCAACACAGTGAAACCCCTTCTCTACTAAAAATACAAAAATTAGCTGGGCATAGTGGTGCGTGCCTGTAATCCCAGCTACTTGGGAGACTAAGGCAGGAGAATGGCTTGAACCCGGGAGGTGGAGGTTGCAGTGAGCCAAGATTGTGCCACTGCACTCCAGCCTGGGCAACAGAGCTAGATTCCGTCTCAAAAAAAAAAAAAAAGTATTATTACAATTAATTTTACCTGCTTTTCTCTTTTCACATTGCTACTAGAGAATTTTAAATTACATTCATGCCTTGCATCATACTTCTATTTGACAGCAATGAAGCAGCAATCACCCATTTACAGATTTACCTAGCTTGTGGACTATCTGCCACTTGTGAGGCACTGAGCTGAGTGCCAAGGAGAAAAAGCTGAAAAAGACAAAGGATCAGCTCTCATGGAAGCTTCTTTCCTTTCAGGAGATGAGTGATTAGTGTCTTGTGTGATGCATGCCAAGAAGGAGGTGTCCCCTGGATATGGGAGCATAGGAGAGTGGCATCCAAGTCATGCTGGGCAGTCAGGAAGCCTGTCTGGAGGAGGGGGTGGCTTAATCTCAAAAGACAACAGAACTTTATTAAACGTTAAGTAATCCAGAGGTGCAGGAAGAGCATACCAAGTCAGAGAAAACAGCGTGACCAAAGTCTGCATGACTCTGGCTGACTTTTTCCTTTTCAGGAAATTTTCTGAAAGCTTAGTAATCAAAGATGGCTACAGAGTTAGACTGTTCCTTCCAATCTTCTTTCCTTTTAGAGGAAGCATGAAAGAGAAACAATCAGATAAATATGGTAGGCATGAAGCACAAAAAAATAGGCCAAATCACAAATTGCGCTCAACAGTTTTTTGTATATACATATATATATATATGTGTATATATATATATATATTTTTTTTTTTGAGACAGAGTCTCACTCTGTTGCCCAGGCTGGAGTGCAGTGACGCAATCTCGGCTCACTGCAACCTCTACTTCCCAGGTTCAAGTGATTCTCCTGCCTCAGCCTCCGGAGTAGCTGGAACTGCAGGCATGCACCACTACGCCCAGCAAACTTTTGTATTTTTAGTAGAGACAGGGTTTCACCATGTTGGCCAAACTGGTCTGAAACTCCTGACCTCAAGTGATCCACCCACTTCAGCCTCCCAAAGTGCTGGGATTACAGGCGTGGGCCACCACACCTGGTAGAGCAGTAAATATTTGTATGTGCCAAATACTGGGGGCCAAAGGGAAGGGCTTCTTTGCCACATCACACAGCTTGCACTTAGGGGTGGTAATGCTGACAATTCTGTTTCATTTATTCAATCAGGAAATGAACTCCTCATACAGGCTATATTGAATAGTAATAATGGTCACCTGAAATTGTTAGTATTTGGCCTCCCCTGGAAGCCAAGATATCTGTATGAAAGACCCACACCTAAGAAGTAATACTGACAAATGTCAGACATTTGATTGGCACAGTATCTGAGGAGAGGGATTAGAGAAAGTTCTAAGAATCTATGACTCATCTATTCCATACAATCAAAATCCAAATCATAACTGTTAATGTCTTTGTAAATGAGTCAGACCTGCTGTGATTCAGAGACTTTTCATTTTATGTTGATTTCTAAGAATTGCAAAGTTTAAGCCTCCTTGACTTTTACAAGCATAGAAACAGATGGGGTTTAAAGAAAGAACTCATTAACTGCCAAAAAAAAAAAAAAAAAAAAATCGAGAGCTTTAACATGACATGATTTTCTGCCTGAACAGTTTAGTTCTGCTTGTTGTGGCACTAAAACGGCTCATGTGCATAAACTGTCCATCGTTCATTCTGGCTTCAGAGTCTGTGGTATGAAATCCTGGTACTGATTAAAATTCTTATGCTTAGAGTATGTACCACGTTAGTGCATTCATAATTAAAGGTCATGAACGATCAGTGAGGGTGGTGGGCATGCTCAAGAATAGACGGTTGCTCCTTTGGAGGAAGGAGGGTTGCCTGGAGTACCCTGACTGCCTCTCATATAACTTAGTCTCAGTGTCTGGAGGGATGGGGGCACCACTGTTTACTCAACTGACCCTAAGAGGGATTAGTCACCAGGAGATGAACTGTGGTGACCTCAGATCTTGACTCAGGACTCTTTCTTAGCAGCCAGGGTCCCCAGTCTCCTCTGTGAGGAGGACACAGTGGCCAAGTCCTGGCCTCTCTGCTGCTGCTGGACACTTTCCTGAGGTTGCTGCCCCTCACAAAGGGGAGCAGCTGTGATGTCAGCAACCAGACTGAAGAGGGACTTACTAGGGAATGTTTCCAAGCCAACTGCTAACGCTCCCACCTATTATTTGAGAAGCAAGAAACCCAAAACAAGAAGACAGGCTTCAGAACTCTCATCAGGCTTGAGTAGGAAACGCCACACATGATCAGATAACAGACACCACACTGCTTTGGAGTCTATAAATTTATTGAGTAAAAACAAAATCAACGTCAGACACATTATATTTGATTGGGTTCAAATTTGGCTGATGTCCAAATGCAGCAGAGAAGAACAGAGGGGAGGAAGGGATATGGTGTTGCTGACAAGGGGACAGTGAACAAAACAGTTTTCCTTTCATTGTAAAAGCAGGCATCGCACAGCTGGTGTGAGTCAATTAACCAAGGCGGGGAGGGAACTCAATGTTTTAGAAGCAGAGGGAAACCCAAAGTAAGCAGAGACTTTCAAGATAGGAGAGGGCCAGAACACTGAGAGAAAAAGCTGCAGCAGAGGCCGGCTGGAGAACAGTGGTCAGATCTGCTGGGTCACTTGGGGAACATGGTGACCACTTCATAGCCCTCAGGTGGTGTGACTCGCTCCCGGGCATGCTTCTCACAGTAGATTTGATCCTCCACAAAGAAATGGCCCTTCTGTTTCAGGTTGGTGCCACAGTCAGTGCACACGTAACACTCAGGGTGGCGGTGATGGTCCCGCAGCTTCACGAACACACCGCTACAGAAGCAAGGCAGGGAAGGGACTCCATCAGTGACAAGCACCTGCAGGTGGCACCCGAGCAGGTGGCACCATCCTTCCTGAGCAGGGGCCTGGGGCTTCTCCCAGAAACCAGGGCCTCCCAACTGGCCTCCAATCATAAGGGACTTGCTTCTCCTTCCCAGGGTCCAGAGACATTTTTCCAAAAACCCCTCCTACTTCAACAGGGCAGCCCTGATTTTTCTCATTTTACATGTTCATAACCTAAGGGCTCCACAGTGAAGGAAAACCTTCACAACCTGGCTCTGGGACACGGGACTTTCCTGGCCTCTCTGCTGCATTTTTCTGGGACGGATTTGTCTCCTTCACAAGCAAAATGTGCAACATCCAGCACTTTCCACATTTTCATGGTTTACCCAACCTGCAGGGTCTACAAAGGCTGTGGGGAGCAGATACTCACACAATCCCAGTGCCACATTTGTCACACATAGGCAACTTCTGAGCATTTCCAATCGATGCAGCCACTTTAGTGACAGGAGCTTTAACACTTCTGAATCCTGAGGGCTTGTTGGGATCCCCTGAAATGAGGAAAACACACTCATTGGCCAGGAAGGGCAGAATTGCTTAAGTATCACTCAGCTCTTCAGAAGCAGTTATAAATATATGTTCAAGCAAGGCCATGGGAACTGGAGTGACTCTGCTGTGTGATTCTGGGCAAGTTACTTAACCTCTCTGGTCCTCAGTTTATTTTTCTAAAAAGCAGGAGATTGACACCTGGCCAAAAAAAAAGCCCAAAAAGCCAAGACAATCCTAAGCAAAAACAACAAAGCTAGAAGCATCACGCCACCCAACTTCAAACTATATTACAGGGCTACAGTAACCAAAACAACATAGTACTGGTAGAAGAACAGACACGTAGACCAATGGAACAGAATAGAGAACCCAGAAATGAGACCACACACCTACAACCATCTGATCTTTGACAAACCTGACAAAAAACAAGCAATGAGGAAAGGATTCCCTATTTAATAAACAGTGCTGGGAGACCTGGCTAACCATATGCAGAAAATTGAAACTGGATCCCTTCTTTACACCATATACAAAAATCAGCTCAAGATGGATTAAAGACTTAAATGTAAAGCCCAAAACTATAAAAACACTAGAAGAAAATCTAGGCAATACCATTCAGGACATGGGCATGAGCAAAGATTTCATGATGAAGA